AATCTTTGAACTCTGAAATTCGATCTTGAACATCAGACAAGGTAAATTTATGGATACTGGCATCATAATAAATAAAATTCCTCACGGTGATGTTCATATCAAACTTAGTTCGAATCACTATACCTTCAGACAGATACATACCACACAGTTCAGTGGTTGTACCTTTTTATTTATTCAAGGTGTGGTGTGCTACTTATATTGACATAAGCAGTCGATGATGTTAGTCGTGAACAGAAGGTCTGGCAGCACAGAGACAAGAGGATCGAACAGTAAAGAATGGAAACAGAATGCAATTTGTATGAAAATGCAAGAACAATGAAGTCTGAGTCATTATGAGACAACTGATAGACATTTTGTAAATCACGTATTTACTATTTGATTGTTAGATTTTATTAACAAGTCCTGTAATTTTGTGTCAAATACATTCGATTATCCCCACTGGTGTTCTTGTTCACTACAAGGGGATATACGAGTCAGGGTTGCGACAGCACCAAAGTCAAAGGAGATCGTATGGGTACATGGTATATCTGACCAAGGTATTGTGAATTTATAAATTACTTGTCTAACCAAAATTACCGATCGTATGCTCTTATCTGAATCAGATCGGACACCAGTACGATTAAATAGTTGAGGTTATCTGTGTAACTTGGATATTAATCTTTGATTCACCAAATCAAAAAGCTGTTTCGTAACAACAGTTATACAGTTTATTAAACTGAATTACGCACTTCCTGAATCTAAGTTTTTATGTTATCCGATTAATTTTTCAGACAATACTTGGTAAAATAGACACTTTTTCACACGATCTGAATTGCGTGATTGCATTTAGATTTAGAATTTCCGATATGTGAAGCTTCTTATGTGATCAGATGGCATTTGGACAAAGTAATTTCCAACATATGGTTCATAGAGTGCCCTAGGAGTTATCCGAAAATTGTTAGCATTAGTTGAAATGTGAAAAACGATTAATTAAAGGAATAAAAGTTAAGTAGAAAAAAGGATAGATGACGAATGAGATAAACTGACTAGTCAAAAGGTAGAGGTAATTTCTTTTTCAGATAACTTGGGCAGAAGCTTTTAATTACGTATTGACCTCCCATTAAAGAATCGTATCGCCACCTTGCAGATGATATAGTCCTGGTTGATGGAGTGATTGGCGAAATTGAAGGATCTGGAAATTTTAATTGACGATTTCATCAGTTCATCTTAGCGTGGCTACAAGGATTAAGTAATTAATTTGTGTCGTAGTCAGTTACCGTCCTATTTAGACCTGGATAAGCCTTGGTAATTAACTGTTCTTAATAGGCTTTACTCTAATATACAGTAATATCTGTATGCATATACAAAATTATTGAACCAATCAATATTTATTTATTGACTTTAACACATCGATATTGGTACAAGGAGGCACCAAATACATATGCGCCACATAAATCTCATTTGATATGTGTGAAGGCTGTGATACTCCCCGGGTGCCCAAACCGAAGCAGGTGGTTATCTTAGGGGGCCGAACACGGAGCTTCCGATCTGAAGGTTTGATCCACAAGGCAGTGGAGCAACGTAAGGAGATGCAGTCCCATGGCAGCAGGTGACCAACGATTGGTTCATATGCCATTTGTTCCTTCAGTATACTGGAGCCCATGTGCACCATTGGTTTGGAATCAGGGTTTTCCAACTCCCCTAGGTGGACTCTCTACGTCCACCAACCCGATCAAAGAGAGGGGCAGTGAATAGGACTTCCCTGGCAGACGCTATATACGTGTGGCCATGTGAGAGCATTTCGACAGGGAGAGCGGACTCTCCCCACTCTCGGTCATACCAGTGTATTTGGGGGCTTGATGTTTACTTTAGCATTCGAACCCAGTACCAATCAAGGCAGTTTATGAGTCAGAGATAACAGTGGAATAGATCACATAAATAAGTGAAAAGTACAAATTGGTAGTGTGATGATAAGTGTACTAGTTGTGATAAGAATAACAAAGGCTTGAATCGACATTTCATAACAAAATGAAAAAATATAGATACTGAAATAACATTCACTAAAAATTGTAAGATTATGTAACAAGAAGTGGTCAGATAATTGAACAATGAGGCGTATATTTAAAAAAGGGAGGGTGAAGAAAAATAAACGAAGATTATGGAAAATAATAAGAAACAGAATCTTTTATCAAGATGAACTCGGCCAAAGAAGAGATAAAGATGTTACAAATTTCTTATTGATACAAAGACTCGGGTTAATGGCTCGAATCCCTACAGCTTCTGATAAAAGTAAAGGAAGAAACCGGACTAAATCAGGAAAACTAATAGAAATACAATCAATCACTTCAAATGACCTATTTCTACCTAGTACATGACCGCTACCGATCAAGTGTGATAAAACAAAGCTGCGTATTGTTTTGACGATATCCTTTCCTAACTACGAAGGTAAGTGTTTACAAACCCATTGGCTTAGTTGTCTGATTATGCGTTCGATATAGCTTTCCCCACAGGAGCAGCTGAATTCGTAAATAAACTTGGATGTCAAAACCAGGTAAATTATCATTTAGTTGAAGAATCATCATCGGTCGGCTGGATAGACACAGAGGCTAGTTGCATTAATTCAGCTATATTTGAGTAAAGCATGATGAGGATCTAATTGAAAACAGTATTGTTTACTTATGTACGTTGTTCTAATTCACAACATAGGAATTCTTAAAATCAACTGTCTATATTCTTATTATTCCAGACAAAATGGAATTTAGTTATAATTGTCAAGGAAAATTTTCGGATGTTTTAAGTGTTTAACATGATTTAACCAACATATGGAGTATGGTAGTTTTTCCAGCTGAAAGTTCAGTAAAAGACTTATTTGATAGTATCATTACCAGTATAAAATAGGAAACCTGAGACAGTGGAAAGTTGATTCATTTTTAAAACTTTGTAACAACTTGAACAGAATAAATACACAACATCTTTAAGCACTATATACAACACTTAGTGAATGATTTCCCCGTTTGTTACTTAATTTTTGAAATCTGTGACAAAATTAACGACACCTTTATTTCATCAAGTATTAATCAATGTTGTACTTGATATCATCGAATCAAGTAAACATTATATATTTAAATAAAGTACATTACTTCGCAAAGATTCTATCTAGTGGTTATCTATGAGTTACAATCAGGAATCTTGTATTGACGAAACAACGTTTTAGCAAAAGCTAAACTGTCATAATAGACTAGAAATGAACAAATACGATTATTTGATCAGGTCTACAAATAGTAAACTTCCTGAAAGTAATCGATTTTAAATGAAAATCTAGGACTTGTAGAGTTTGCGAACAAATTTTCTTCACACCAAAACTACTTAAACAACCGAAAATTTTGCAATGAACATCATTTCAAAAAGTTGGCTACTAGGAATGCTGATACACAATTTTCTATGTACTCCTTGTTATTATGAATAGGCCGGCTCCAATGAATCCACCGGACATCGAAGCAGCACACACAGATCTTCCCATAGACGTCAACCCACCAACGAAGGAAGAAATCAGAATGGCCATCAGACAAATCAAGAGCGGGAAAGCAGCAGGACTCGAAAATATACCAGCTGAAGTGAAGCACTGAAGTCAGACATCGAAGTAACTACAAACATGCTTTACCTTCTATTCAAAAAGATTTGGGAGGAGGAACAAGTGCCGATGGACTGAAAAGAAGGGCACCTCATCAAGATTCCAAAGAAAGGAGATCTGAGCAAATGTGAAAACTAAAGAGGCATTACACTACTTCCAGTAACCGGGAAAGTCTTTAACAGAGTGTTGCTGAACCGGATGAAAGACACAGTAGACGCCCAACTTCGAGATCAACAGGCTGGGTTCCATAAGAATCGGTCGTGCACAGACCGAATCCCAACACTACGGATCATCGTCGAACAATCAGTTGAGTGGAACTCGCCACTATACATCAAGTTCATTGATTATGAAAAGGCATTTGACAGTGTGGATAGCGGGACGTTATGGAAACTTCTTCGACACTACGGAGTTCCTAAGAAGATTGTCAATATTATCCGAAACTCATACGACGAACTACAATACAAAGTCGTGCATGGAGGACAGCTGACAGATGTATTCCAAGTAAGGGCCGGAGTCAGACAAGGCTGTTTACTCTCTCCCTTCCTTTTTCTCCTGATGGTCGACTGGATTATGAGGACCTCGACATCTGAAGGAAAACATGGAATACAATGGACAGCTCAGAACTAATTAGACGATTTGGACTTCGCAAATGACCTAGCACTCCTATCGCATATACACGAACAGATGCAGACAAAGACAACCAGTGTAGCAGCAGTCTATGCATCAGTAGGCCTCAGCATACACAAAGGGAAAAACCAAGGTCCTCAAATTCAAAGCGGAGAACAGCAATCCAATCACTCTTGATGGCGAAACTCTGGAAGATGTAGAATCCTTCACATACCTAGGAAGCATCGTCGATGAACAAGGAGGTTCAGATGCAGACGTAAAGGCAAGGATTGGCAAAGCAAGGGTCGCATTCCTACAATTGAAGAACATATGGAACTCCAAACAACTTTCAACCAATATCAAAGTGAGAATCTTCAATACGAACATCAGGGCAGTTCTACTGTACGAAGCTAAAACTTGGAGAACTTCAACAACCACAATCAGGAAAGTACAAGTATTTATAAATAGCTGTCTACGCAAGATACTCAACATCCATTGGCCGGATACCATCAGCAATAGCCTTCTGTGGGAGAGAACAAACCAACTTCCAGCTAGCTGAAGAAGAAATTAGAAAAAGACGATGGAAATGGATAGAACATACATTACGCAAATCATCAAACTGCATCACGAGGCAAGTCCTAACTTGGAATCCTGAAGGGAAGTGGAAAAGAGGAAGGCCTAAGAACACATTACTTCGGATAATAGAAGCAGATATGAAAAAGATGAATAACAACTGGAAGGAGCTGGAAAGGGTTGCCCAGGACAGGGTTGGATGGAGAATGCTGGTGAGCGGCCTATGCTCCTTCACGAGGAGTAACAAGCGTAAGTAAGTAAGTAAATCCTTGTTATTAACTCAGACTAGTGTACTTGGTTCCGTCGCAAACATTTTGAATGTATAATGGTTAGTGATACTAGTCAGTTGATCATACAAACAGAGATTCAATCCTGAGAGTTAGTGGTTGAAAGCAAAACGCCTTAGAAATTAAGACAACTGTTCAACTACGAGCAGTACGGTACAACAATCCAAGAACGTGATAATGAAAACAAACCATTGAACTTTTAAAAAATCCATTTAAGATAGTTTGATTAAAGGTTTAAACGATGTAATACATGAGTACTAAAATTTAAAAAGGCTATAAGTAACAATTATTATAAAGTACATTGTTACATCAGCTGTGAATCAAAATTATTACCCGACTTAACAACAAATTACTACTAAATGATGTAATACATGAGTACCAAAATTTAAAAAGGCTATAAGAAACAATTATTATAAAGTACATTGTTACATCAGCTGTGAATCAAAACTATTACCCGACTTGACAACAAGTTCCTACTATCTTGAAAATCGTTCATATCAACATTTAACTTAATAAAAATGTCGACAATTCGATCATTTTTACACCTTTCTATTAGGCCATTTCATCTGTTCTGGAAGAATGTAACGCGATGCTAGTGTTAAAATAGGCGTACCAGTTGGAATGCCAGGACAAGGACCATTACTTGAAGCGATATCCATATGTGTGTACGACAAAGGCTTTTCAGTATTTTTCAAATGCTAGGGAAGTTATAAAGAAATAAATATTTTGATTAAAAAGATTGTCGTTGTGTCATTCAATGACGAAAGCATTTAAACGACTAGTAATACATGTTAATGTAATGTCCAGTTAACTAAACGAATAATAGAAGTGTCACAATTTGATCACAGTGGTTATCGAATGACGCGTACAATGCCCTCTTACATATAAGATATACTTACAAATTAGATAAATTAAATTCTCTAAAAAGCGGGCGTAAGACGAAAATAGAGATAAAACTACACAAAAATCCTTACCGTGACATGAGACACGATTGGCTAAAACTGGAAATTATCTGAGATGATAAGAGTGGTATTAGTGTATACAAAGTGTAAGACGAGACGAAATAACCAAGGCAAATCCCAGAGTAGTAGAAAAACCAATAATGGTAGAAAAATAAAAGAAAAAAACATAGGGATACCTTGAGAATCAAGTTCTAAAGGAAGCTAAAAGGTCAATGTATATGCGCCAATGTGGACGAAGTCTGTGACCACCGATTATTATAACTCAGTTTAATTGGCAGTGACCTCATAGACTGGTGATGTTAACCTGGCTGTAGAAGATCGGATCTACGACGCGTCATTGAGAGTAGTTTTCCTCTATGCTTGTGAAACCTGGCCTCTCTGAGTTGAGGATGTTAGATGACACTGTGTTTGATTATCGTTGTCTCCGACGGATTACTGACATCCAGTGGCAACACCATGTTAGTAATGCAGAGGTTCAGCATCGTGTGTTCGGGCAGAGATGATAATTCAATTGGTATAACCACCTTGGAAAATTGAATTCAGTGTTTTTGACATGTTCTACAAGTGCCATCCCAGAAAATGACAACGTTGAGACTGGTTGGGAAATGTTGAAAGGTGGTCAGTGTACGACATAGCATCGTGATATGAAAGAAAGCTGTACAGGACTGACTTCTGTTGATTCTTCTTAGAGATGTTGCAACACAGTGACTTGTCAGACATGATAAAGAACAGAAGCCGGTGCCGATCCTGCTGTAACATTTTTGGTAAAAAATGAACGTAACTGAAAGAATTCTTTCTTGTTGTATTTCTGCTAACTGAACTGCCTCTCCCATTATTATTATTATTGCACGCTAATACACTAAGTTCTGTTTGTTCTACCTTTTATTATACGCACTTTATATTCTCTATATCTTCACAACCTCATTGTTATCGTGTGGCGCACATGTATTTGGCGCCCGATTGTACCAAAGTTAATGTGTTCCAATGAATTAATTAACAGAATTTTATTACTATTATTTTTTAAATATTATCATTTTGGAAAAAACAATTATATATTGAGGATTGTACAGCTTTGAAAACGAATTCATCGAGAAAAGAACGGGTACTAAGTAAGGATGGCAAATCAATTGATGACGTAGTGAAACTTCATCAGTTGAGATGGCTGGGACATGTGTTACGTATACCCAACCACCGACTGCCTCGACGTGCGATGTTCAGTGGTATAGGAGTAAATTGGAAGAAAGTTAGGGGATGCCAGACCAAAACATGACACAAGTCCATGAAGTCACTGTCAAGTGGAGTGAGTCATGTTGGTAGGTGTAGACTACCTGGTTGGGGACCGCGAGATGATAACAACCGATGGTTTGAGACCCTGGATGACGTGGCTCAAAATCGTTTGCAGTGGCGCAGGTGCATCCACTCTTTGTGTTCTCCCGAATTCTAATCTCCTGAATCCTCCATGTCTCTTTTTTTCTGCTTCCAAATTTATTTCACTGGATTATACTCCTTGAATAACATCTTCAAATCATAATGTTTCCGATTACTGCTTATATTCTTACCGCCTCTACCACTATGGGATTTGAATCGACAATCGTATCTCTGTGCTAATGTGGTATGGCAACTCAAACTGATGTACGTACGTACGAAGTTCTATGTTGTTACTGACTGATTGGAATTTACTTTTCGAACAATCTGATCACACATATATTTGTTAATAACATTTATATACGAAAAGTCGAAAGGTAAACTTGACAAATGGAAGGTAGGAGAAAACAATGATAATCAAGAAAATAATGTTTAAGAAAATAGTGCAAAACTTAACAAACTGTTTTTGAACACATTAAAGTGGGTTTCAGTTTCCGTAAGGTCAAAGCTTCAATATAACTTAGTATTTACCATTGGACACTTTTGCAGAAAACCACGTAAGCCTAGTTAATATCAATCTTATGGCTTGTTTCAATTATGAGTTTAGAAAGAGATAACGATAGATGCTTACCATCTACTCTTATTTGGTTATTTGATTCCATCTGTGATGGTACATGTTAAAACACCCTCATTTGCAAATCACAATTGCTGCTTCCTACATATTTGTGATCACAAACACATGTAAAGTGATAAACACAGTGGGATGTGACTCAGTCGTTTACATCCCGTTTAGGTTCTCAGCGAAGCATGGACCTCGCTCTATCAATAGCAATGACCTTTGCCACATAGTACATTTTACTGGAAAATGATATGTTTCAATAAAAGGCTACTAGACTAATCTCTGAATGGTAGGGTGATGTAGAAAAACTTTTTCGTTGTCAAAAGTGTAGTAAGTCTCAATGTACTATGACCTATACATAGATGTATGAATTCATAGCATAAAAATTCTTCAACGTTTTTCTCCGTAACATCACATCGTTTCCTTATTACACTATTGAAAGATATCAAAAAGACTAATTGTTTTAAATAATAAATAGGACGTACGGAGTCCAAACCAGATGCAATAATCATAAATGCGACTGGAGACTGATGCCCTCTGCTACGTTTCCCACCAATCAGACGAGCAGAATTCAATAAATCAGAATATTCTTCATCAGTTTTATGCGCATCATAATCTTCACGTCGGAGTGTTGATATCTAGAAAGTTAATAATTATTTAACAATAATAATAACATATCAGCAAATTAACGTAGTTGAATAGCAAATTGCAAAAAACATGCTTTCAAACCAAACATTTAAAATTAGATAATCGAACTACTAATATTATAATGCAGCTCATTTATTAAATACAGGTCTATCGAAGATAAACTACTTAAACTCCGATAATTACTAAGAAAGAATGGTTATCCTACCAAATTTATTGACAGAAAGCCGAAGCAAAAAAGCCAACTTCAGAGAGTACTTACAGTATCAAAGAAGAGTTCTCCCATAAATATAGAATTTAAAAGAGATGCTGCTGAGGAAATTCTGGTGAGATCAATTTCAAAATATCTGAGAAGATTATCTATTCTTCAATGTTTCGTATCGTCTTCTACAACAGGTTTGTCATTTATGAATGTTTTAAAAATAAACCTCTGCTTAGGGTCAAATGTATGTGTAACTTTTTAAGTTTACTTGCTCTTATGAGACACCTTACACTGGGGACATGAAACGAATGCTATCTAGATACATTATAAAACACTACCTGGTGTAGATTTTCAATGAAGAACACAAAATTGTCACCAGCTCAATACAGGAACATCTCATCAACTATGAGCACATCGTTCATAAAATAATAATTTACACAGTCTAATGAGTGGGATCATAAGGAGTATATATTAAAAATAGGCTCAATTACATAGCATAGGGCTACCCTATACATAAGAGGCTTTCCGATAATATCCAGGAAGTTCTGGACAGGTGTACCAATCTACAACGGGACTTCTGAAAAGAGAACATTCGCCACCCAGCAAGAGATCAAACTCATGACCTCTGGATCTCACAACGAGGACAGTCCAGTTTCTACTGACTTTTAGCGGTTATCTATGGTTAGTCCATGATGTGTATAGTACAATATTATAGAGTACTGATTCAACAAGAGCGAAGAATTAATAATACATCACCACACATACAAATTCAGAATCTTTTACTACAAATCGTTTTCATAATAAGTTATATTTCATTACTTCGTTAAGCGATTTGTACGTATGACCAGAATAGTATAAGAGAATTAGAGAGAAAAAAAAAACAAAACAACGTAATCTAACTAATACTTAGCTTAACGCACTTCATGCATTTCACCTAACAATGATCCAGCAAACTGATAGTCATAATCTTCTCCAAGTTCTTTAGCCGGACCATTACAAACGATACCCTATAAAGAAAACAAAAAGCATAAGAATATACAAAAAAAAAAAGAAATACATGAAAGTAGACCCAGATGACTACAACATAAGTAGATTGAAGTATCAGAAATCATTGTAAAGAATTATTTACGCGACACAACATAAATTTAATTAGATTTTCGATTTTTCTCTAGTACTATTAGCATTATGTATTATAAGAAACCGGAAATTGAGATGTATAAAACCCCATACAAAAACTAAGACATAAAATAAGAAAGTATTTATATGCGTGACTTAGTGAATAGATGTAATAAAAAAAAATCCATGGCAAATGTATCCGGTAAATAATATGTCCATTATTATAAACAATGATTAATATGAATACACATTAAAAATGGGACGAAACGACTTATTTAGGCAATTTAAACAGAATTTTTGTAGAACGTGGAAAAGCCATAGCTAATGAATCTTATGAGAACTATATACATCTGTAGGAATAACTAGAATAAAAGATTGTGCAATATGATAAGATTTGAAAGTGAAGTAGAAAATGGAATAAACTAGTCGGCAGTGAAGAGAGTTGGGTTGCTGAGCTACAGATTATGATAATTAGTAGATAGTTTGTTTAGAGCAAACAGTTCAAGATTCGTCAGTAGTACAACAGCAGCAAAAATGCACTGATTTACATAAGTTACTATCGATGAAAAAGAAAATGCCAAGAAACTCTCGACAGTAACTTTGATGCTTCGGCGAATGCCATAATACAATTTCGGCAACAATCATTTGCTCACTAGTGACTAGTTTTAAGAAAAAAATCCCAGTGAGTTATGACGGGTGTTCAACCATGTTGGGTGAGACAGGATGGTTGTGAAATATTGCGAGTTGGTTGAAGCTAGACTTGTACATCATTGAGTCTAAGCTAACGGTCTAGAGATTAATCGTTCGCGCGCGTGAACGAAGGCTTCGGACACGATTCATGCGTACATAGTCGTGGATGCGCACTGTTGAAGTGCTCTATTCAAGGGAGAAACGGCCTTCTAGTTCTACCAGGTTGTTAATGCTGGTATAACTTGGATCGATTTTTTGATTTCAATGAAATAACCATTTAATCATATGTTTGTAGTTAATTAGTAAACAGGATGAAATTGAGTAATAACAGAGGGAAAGACCAATTACTGTAACTGATATAATTGGTACACAGAATTTGATTATAAATCAGTCAACAACTCTCTTCTAGACATGTGGAAAGTTGTAAATATAAGTCAAGCTTGGAAACTATACGATTACTTTGAAATAAAAGTTCAGTTTATTTTTAGATAATAATGCACTTAATTTCGCTATATGTTTATAAACCTCCAGAAACAACCTATTATCATGAACTGGATCGATGTGTACATACGATTAAAACTATTCATCTGCATATTGACACTTATAAACAAATGACTGTACTATATATGTCACACAACGATTATTTAGTAACACTAGATAAGGTAAAATTAAACAAATTATCTACAAATAAACTATTATATTCCACATTTTGTTTGCATACATGTTATCGGTGTATTATAAGATTGGTTCAGGTTGATTTTCACACGTTCAATAATACTTTATTCGATCATCCATTTGTAATCCTAATTATTTTAGTCAGACTTTTGAAGGAACACTAAATCTAGGTCATTTATACGGTGTGTTCTGTGCATAATTTAGTCTGTCATTTATAATAAAATTATAAGCTCACTTATAATACATAGTAATATTCAATGGAAAGGATTCCACAAAGCGATTCAATAAATAAGCTTAAACATTACCGTATATCCTAGTCCATAGCATAACCCAACATGACCAGTCAAAGTAGCGATTGTCAGTAGTCGTGGATTTGATACTTTCAATGCCTACAAAATAGATGTAAATGTATATTTCGAACAACTGTTGTGATATTAAAAAGAAAACTCTTGAGACCACCACTGTAGTTATCATTATTTTAGACTGTTGCCTTTGTATTCCCAAGTAGCATCTTGATGTAAAGCCGCAAAGAGCTTTGCTTCGTTTTGGTGACCTACCTGAATTAATTGTGTTATTATTGCTTAATCAAGGTCATGTGAATATTATTGAAGCCCCCAGATGCCCTGGTATGGCCGAGAGTCGGGTGGGCCCGCCCACCCTCTTGAAATGCTCTCACACGGCCACGCGTATACAGCCTCTGCCAGAGAAGTCCTACTCACTGCCTCCTCGTGGCGCCATTCAAACTGGCTGCCTTCAACGTTCGCACACTTATGCAGGTCGGACAACAGATAGGGCTGGCTATGTCTTTGGAAAGCTTGCGTAAGGACTGACAAGCCTGGTGGTCGAAGCGTGCTAATGAGTTGAAAGCAGCAGATGCATCTGGTAATTACCGGAAGCTCTTCCAACTCATCCAAGCCACTGGCAGCAAGAAGTCTGTTGTGAGAGAAAAAATCTGCGAGGATGATGGGATGCCAATCACTAACATCCATTGACGTCTTGGACGATGGGCAAAATTCTTCGGAGGGCAGTTCAACTGGCCTGCTGCTCCGGCAACATCGGTCAGACTGTCCTGCCCTCCATGGCCGGTGACGACTGATCCACCAAACGAGGAGGAAGTTCGCAAGGAACTCCAACTCTTGAAGCGTTACAAATCACCTGGCCCAGATGACTTACCTCCGGCTCTTTTTAAAGATGGTGGTGACTTTTTGACTAAGGAATTGACGACGTTGTTTACAAAGGTTTGGGAACTAGAGAGTGTACCAACGTCATGGAATGAGTCGATAATTGTCCCTATCTTTAAAAAGGGTTCACGTCGTTCCTGTAACAACTATCGGGGTATAAGTCTACTTCCGATTGCGCCCAAGCTATTGGCTTCCATCATACTTCGTAGGTTGTTCAAAACCCGAGAAAGATTGATTCGCGAGGAGCAGGCTGGTTTCCGTTCTGGTCGAGGATGTATTGATCATATCTTCACCTTCCGCCAAATGTTAGAACACCGCCATACTTATCAAAAGCCAACAATCGTAGTGTTTCTTGACATTAGGGCTGCCTTCGATTCGTTGGATAGGACTGTTCTCTGGGATTGTCTATTGAAGAGGGGTGTGCCTGAGAAGTTTATTAACATCATAAAAGCCCTATACACAAACACCTCAGGCAGAGTGAGGGCATACAACCACCTTTCTCCGTTGTTCCATTCGGGCAGTGGGGTTAGGCAGGGTTGACCAATCTCACCATTACTCTCCAACTTTGCCATCGATGACATCCTGGAAACAGCTCTGATGGATGTAAGTAATGGCGGTGTGGATCTGTTGCCTGGAGAAAGACTTCTCGACCTTGAGTATGCGGACGATATTGTCTTACTGTGCGATAATGCCCAAAGCATGCAATCCGCACTTAATCAGTTGGCAATCAGTGTCCGTAGGTATGGTATGTGCTTTGCACCTTCGAAGTGCAAAGTACTTCTACAAGACTGGCAGGATCCTAATCCTGTACTCACCCTGGATGGTAGGCAGATAGAAGTAGTCGAGAAGTTCGTGTATCTAGGTAGCTGCATAAGTGCTGGTGGGGGTGTGAGTGATCAGATCCATGCACGTATAGTGAAAGCCAGAGCGGCTTATGCCAATCTGGACCACCTTTGGCCCCTTCGTGATGTTAGTCTGGCAGTAAAAGGTCGGATCTATAACGCGTCGGTGAGAGCAGTTTTGCTCTATGCTTGTGAAACCTGGCCTTTCTGAGTTGAGGGTGTTAGATGACTCTCTGTGTTTGATCATCGTTGTCTCCGAAGGATTGCTGACATCCAGTGGCAACACCATGTTAGTAATGCAGAGGTTCGGCATCGTGTGTTCGGGTACAGAGACAATAATTCAGTTGGTGTCACTATCTTGAAACACCGACTTCGGTGGCTTGGACATGTTCTACGAATTTCAGCCCAGAGAATTCCACGTCGTGCATTATTTGCCGACTCTGGGACTGGTTGGAAAAAGCGGAGAGGTGGTCAGTGTATGACATGGTGTCGTGGTATGAAAGAAAGCTGCAAAAAGCTGGCTTATGTTGGTCCTTCACGACTCCCTGGCTGGGGTCCGAGAGATTGTGCGACAGTGTGGTTAGAGACGTTATCATATATGGCTCAGAATAGAAGCCAGTGGCGATCCTGCTGTAACCTTCTTTTGCTTTCTTTATAAAGTGGTTGTATCTTCCTTAACTGAAAGATTTCTTCCGATTGTACCTTTCCGTTTCCCCCATTATTACTATTATTATTATTATTACACTACCTTACACTAATCTGTTTGTTATTGTTTTTTCTCTTAGAATTCTCATTGTTTTGTGTGGCGCATATATATTCGGTGCCCTCTTGTACCAATATTTATGTGTTCAAATAAATAAAGAATATTACTGAAATAAAAACATCAGTTCGTAGGCTTGCCTTAACTTCAGTTATGAGTTTGTTCTACACATTTGTATGTAGTTGTGGTGTCGTTCGATTGCCTTTGTTATATTAGAGGTTCAATCTATCTAATCAAGTTCGATTCATTGTGCTCCACCTGACTGGGGCAATCGATAACACCTAGCAGCGTGTGTTTTCAGGCTTAAAAGAACTAATAACCTCCCTGGGATTTGAATCCGCATTACAAGAATTTCTCCTAAACGCCTTCATATACACAGCATAGCAAAAAAGTTCAAGCGGTTGAGTAACCTACACAAGTAACCATGTTTTAAATTGATCGGCCGAATGCAATCAACGTTAAGAATTACATAATCATGGGAGTCGTTGCTACTCAGTGACCAACCGTTTCAAATATATCAGTCGTATGGGATAGCTGCCTGGACAGAACAATTATAATCTCACTGTAAGATTACATCTATACTTGCGTACATAAACTATTCCAAGTGCAGATCATAATAAAATAATCGAAAGTGTCGTTGTGGGACAAAATGGACGATTGTTCAGTTAACCAGACAAAAATAAAATATTGTGAAAATTTAGTTCTACACGCTTCATTTTGAAACAAAAAAGTAACAAGTAGATAGATAAGGCAAATATACATTTATTCACTTACCTTCTCCTTAGCTTCACATAATAAATCAGTCATAACCATTCGACCTTCAGCATCAGTATTGTTCACGCGAACCCGTACTCCAGCACGTGAAGTTACTATTTCATCACTTACATAAGCATTTTCACCAATGCTGTTACGAACTAAACCTAAAGTACCATGCACCTAAGAAAAACAGAAGAGAAACAATTGTTTGATGAATATCACCTTCAGGTAAACAAAATAAGTTACAAATCATTGACCACATTCTTATAATTGATACTGACAAAACGAACTCTGTAAACATGCTGAAGGTTATTAGATTTAACATTTAATCTGACTGAACAGATAATTGATCAGGGAAGTAAAACGTAACATGCTATAGATGCATAAAGTGAATAACTGGGTCGAATCATTTAGAAGGACAAATATTGATCAGAATAAGTTAGTTATTAAAAGGAATATGCCAAGGAAAGCCACTAAATGCATTATACCATAATACCAACCAGGTACTATTTGTTTTATTCTACATACAATCCAACGGTGAAAAACTCCGCCGAAAGCCCTTCTATGATTACTGGGGGTCTCAAGCCTGAATAGAGGGTCGAGCATGGGCTCAACAACCACATCTCGTAAAAAGCAGTCAGTGAGGGAGGAAGAGCAAGTGACAACAAAATGGAAAGACACATCATCAAGAGTCTAAAGAAAAGGTCTCAGCATGCACGAGCACTACAGACGCATCACACGACTATCACTACCAGCAAACCTTTTCAACAGTGATGTGAACCGGATCAAAAATTAAGTAGACGACCAGCTTCAAGTTCAACAGATCAGATTCCGTGAGGATTGGTCGAGCACAGACCAAATCGCTACACTCCTGATTAATATTGTGCAATCAATTGAATGGAATTACTCACTACACAACAACTCCCTTGATTATGAAAAGGCATTTGACAGCGTGAATACGAGAATACTTCGAAACCTTCCTCAACAATATGGTGAATCTCAGATTTTCAACATCATTCGGAATTCATACTACGGACCACACTGCAAAGTCATGCATGGAGAGCAGCTGACAAACGCATTCTAGGTGAGGGCCGAAGTCAGATAAGACCGTTTACTCTCTCCCTTGCTCTTTCTTCTCATGGCTGATTTCATTTTGAAGACCTTCACATCTAAGAAGAATCACACAATACAATGGACAGCTTGCATGTAACTAGACGATTCAGACTTCACAGATCATCACCTATCTCCACTAGCACACACACACACCAATAAATGCAGGTGAAAACAAACAATGTGGCAGCAGCCTTTACAGCAGTACGTCTCTACATACACAGGGCAATATGTTAAATCCTCGAATACAACACGCAACACACTAACCTAATCACACTTGATGCAGATGCTCTAGAACACGTGGAAATTCCCACATATCTGAACAGCAGCATCGATGAACAAGGAGGATCTGGTGTAGATAAAGACACAAGGAATGCCAAAGAAATGGCCACCACATTCCTATGATTGAAGAACATAGAAAACTCAAAACAACTGTCAACTAACATCAATTCAGAATCTTCAATACGAACGGGAAGACAATTCTAGTGTATGGAGCTGAAACTTGTATCAATATCACAACCATCATCAAAAGAGTACAAGTATTTATGAGCACTGGTCTTAACATGATATTTAATGTCCGTCAGTTGGATACCACCAGCAACAGCCTACTGTGGGGGAGAACAAGTCAGCTTCTAAATTAAGAGGATATTAGGAAAAGACGTTGGAAGTGGGTGGGACATACATTGTGGAAATCATCAAACTGGACCATGAGGCAAGCGGTAACTCGGAATGCTGAAGAGAAACGGAAAAGAGGAAGACCAAAGAACACACTGCGTTGAGAATTATAAGCAGACATCAATAGAATGAATAACAACTGGAAAGAACTGTCCAGAACATAGTTAAATGGAGAATTTTGGTGAGCGGCCTATGCTCTTCCACGAGGGGCAACAGGTGTAAATAAGTATCTAATGAACCAGTGTTCCATATTCTTTAGTAAGCAAGCGTGAAAACTCTAAACGTTTATCTTAGTAATTTTTAAAACAACTTGAAGTTTAATTAAAGTACACTATAATATAATGTAAACACTACTGTAACTAACTGTTCAATAAGCCCTATTAAATCAACTGCATAAAAACCAAATTCACAATTATAACCTTTAGGTTTTTCGGTTTCAATAAGTTTAAAATTTTGAAAAATCCGGCCACAGCAGCTGCACCACATTTATCCCGATGCATCGTAGCCATAATACCTCCAACTTTAAGATCTGAGCCACCCGTATCATAGGTAACACCTTTACCAACTAAAAATAAATTGACTATTTGCTGAGGATCAATTTGTGATTGTGTAGATCCATCGTATTCTAAGTGTACAACGTGACCACGATGTCTTTCATTATCTATGAGTAATTAAAAAACACAAAACATTACAATTATATTTCAATAGATAAATGGGACAATTAAAAAAACATGGAGCACTAGTCTATCAGCACGCTTAATGCTGATTGACTATTGTTCAATCCGCATCGCTTAGCATTCATAATTGGAAACTAAGGAACCACTACAATACGATGTAAAATATAATAATTATTATAACAGTTTAAGGTCATGGTAAAGATAAGGATAAGACGTAATTCTTTTGTACGCGCAATTCTGGCTTTATCTCATTAATGGCGGCAGCTTCTGTTGTTTTGGGGGGTCAAATACAAAGAAATCTATGTAGATTTTGATAAATTCTATAAAATCAACATATGGATAAGTGAAGTGATTGGAATCGATTAAATGTTCTAAAAAAGAACTCCTATGCTTCTTGCTCTGACCTTTGGAGAATCGTCATGGTTACGACCAACGTACCTTACACCAAAAGAGCATAAACTGACAAACGGACGGTCCGTTACAGATACATGTGACGAGCCTCTACTAGTGAACGTTAGTTGCAGCTTTTCAGCACAGAACATTTTATAGCTGTCGTTGACTGGTTTTAAATAGAACAAAAGTTTGGCCACCTTTAAATCCTAAGTTCACAAAACGATATTTCCCAAAGAAAGAATTTTCGAACACTATGTTGCGAATGCATTTCACATTTTTCTCTACAAATTGGCCGGAAAAGCCATCGTCCTAAGAAACAAGATTTCGCGCACTAGAGTCGTTAGCCATGGTGACACTTGGGGAGGAAGTTTAGAGTTGCAAGTCCAGGTGGAAGGAATAATAGGAATTGAAGAGAAAAATTGTTATAAACACAGTGATTTTGAGTGCTGTTAGAGATATGAGGGCGGTTATTACTTCCCGGTTGCCCACACCATGGAAGGGTTCTTCTGGAGGTACTTTTGAAAAGGAAATTGGGTTAGAGGTGGTCTTAGTGACCTGAGAACGTGCTGCAGTGCCCAACGAACAAATGCTTGAGGTCGGTCACACTCGACCTTTTTATGAGTATTTTCGTGTGAGCTCCGTACTTGTTCCGACCTCACCGCTGGAGACGGATATCCGTGGAATAAGGCGGTGTGCATTTTTAGGGTCGACCTTTAATAACTTCATTCCTCCTTGTGGGAAGGCAGTTTCGCTGTTATGCTGGTTGTCTCAAGGAAACACCTTGCTACCGTCACACTTCTGTACATTCAGCAGTACGATTTCGCCCTCGAATCTTGGGTTTGCTGCTTTCAATCTTACCGCTCTTCGGCCAACCTTTCTGGAATGGTAGGACCTTGAGGAACGGTTGTTCCAGCCAGTATACATCGATTGGTTCATCACGATAAGCAAGCCTGACGTCTACGTCAAGGTGGCGGCAACAGTTGGGACCTCCCTGTCAGAAGCTTATTGAACAATGAAATAGTACGGCCTACTACATTTTCCAACTTGGAATCACGGGAAGGATGGCATGTACTGAGAGAATGAAAATTTTCAATTAATTGAACATTCGTCGCAAAAGGCAGAAGTGTCGTTCATATAACAGTTCAGCAAGAAGTAGTATCCATTTATAGTCGAGTAAACAAACTTCACTTCACTTTTGTCTCACAACTAATATCAGTTAGTCAGTCAGTAACAACGTAGAACTTCGTACGTACGTACATCAGTTCGAGTTGCCACACCACATTAGCACAGAGATGCAGTGGTCGATTCAAATCCCGTAGTGCTAGATGTAGTAAAATAATAAGCTGTAATCAGAAAAATTAGGGTTTGAAGATGTTATTCAAGGAGTATAATCGAGTGAAATAAATTTGGAAAGACAAAAAAGAAAGGGACATGAAGAATTCAGAAGATTAGAATTTGGGAGAACACAAAGAGAGTATGCACCTGCGCCATTGCAAACGATTTTGAGCCATATCATCCAGGGTCTCTAACCATCGGTTGCCATCATCTCGCGGTCCCCAACCAGGTAGTCTACACCTACCAATATGACTCAGTCTACTTGTCAGGGACTTCATGGACTTGTGCCATGTTTTGGTCACAACTAATATCGAATTTCTATTTTCCTTGACGATCCTAAATTCACATGCTTTAATGGCGAATTTCCGCTTGGTTGGGTTCGTTCAAATGCTGGTAAACTAGTGTACCAAATTAACATAGGTTACGTGGCTTTGTGCCCCTAAATGCCCTGGTATGGCCGAAAGTCGGGTGGTCCCGCCCTCCCTCTTGAAATACTCTCACACGGCCACGCGTATACAGCCTCTGCCAGGGAAGTCCTACTCACTGCCTCCTCGTGGCGAGCGTGTTATTTAATAAAAATGAGAGAACGAAAAGCGAATGTCCGGTGCTTTAACCGGATCCCAAACCAATGGTGCACGTGGGCTCCAGTATTTTGCGGGAACAAATGGATTATGAACCAATCGTTGGTCACCGGCTACCATGGGACTGCATCTCCTCACGATGCTCCACTGCCTTGTGGGTCAGACCTTTAGGTCAAAGGCTCGGGGTGTGGCCCCCTAAGATAACCACCTGCTTCGGTCTGGGCACCCGGGCAGTATCACAGCCCACACACAAATATAATGATAATGAAAATGTGTGGTGCATATATATTTGGTGCCCACTTGTACCAATATTTATGTGTTCAAATAATAAATAATAATAACGTGGCTTTGTAAGAATAGCTGTTTGAAGTAGGATGCAAATCGTGATAATTAACAAGAAGAGAAAAAGTTGAAGATCCTTTTCCCAGGTACTGGGAAATACTTACGTCAGACCTGATTCCAGAATATCATCGATTCCAAAGTTGAAGTGTGGTGAAATTGGGCAACTGTGCAAAATCTCATTGCATGAATAAAATAATGGAGAGAGGTAATTGTATACCTTCACTCTGTCTGTGTTTGTGCACAAACTTCAAAATATCAGTAAACTTTTCGGGGGACACTGCTACAAAAGACAATCCCAAAGCGCAATCATATCCCACGAAACAAAGGTAACACTCATATCAAGGAACATAGATTTTTAGCCTTTACGAAGTGTGGAAAAGCAAAAACATTCGCCGGACGGTGATATGATTAAAACTTGATCTAAAACCAGTCAATCTCATTAGTTTTGTACAATTTACGAAGCACAACGAACGTTAACAGTTTGGATACGATCGAAAGTAGACGCATCCCACAGTAATCACTGTATTAACAAGACAGGTCAATTTCAAACATAGAGATGATGACTGCTTCATTCCATAATGTTAGGGCAGTGTTTTCCTAACATTTCCTAACAAACACGTTAGTTTTCTGACCAGGTGTTTGCTATCATCTTTAAAATGAGTCAGAGTCACATCGTTAAGGTCTGGTGAATTTCGGAGCTTCAACAGTTCCTCGTGAACCTTCACTTCGTAAGGTGGACCGGTTGCCACCGGCCACTACAGACAAGACAGTCTGCAAGAATAATACTCAGCTTATTAATCTTGTGTTAAAGCTTACCCGTGCCATCTAAGTTTAACACCATGAAAATTAACAACATACCTAGGAGACTTTAAGTGAATTTCGGATGTGGCATAGATAGATCAAGCGAACGGATCTACAAAGCTCCGTTTAATTTAATTGATATATTATCATAACTCCTCGAAAGTATAGAATGCGAAACACGCTAAGTTCGATAGTCCTAATGACACATAAGTGGTATCATTTGCACATGGAAAATTACTAGATATTTTCAATATATGTAAACATGTAGTACACAAATGAGTTGAGCTGTTTTTTTTCATTATTTTGCTGTCAAGCTAAAGAAAATAACTTACTTCCACGATCTACTATAGCTGCCAGAGGGTAAAGCCCTCGATCAACAGGACAATCAGTCATCTGAACAGGTTCTGTCAATTCTTTTTGAAGGTACGTCACTATATTCTTTGCACTCATACGTTCTGGGTCAGATCCACCTATATCACGTGCTACTCGTAGACCCTCTTCCAAACACCACGCCAATCCAGTCTATATAGTTTAGATAAGGAAAAACTAAGTCAAAATCATGGTTTATGAATAAATAATTATGAATATGTATAAATACATTAGTTTCGGAAAGCAGAAATGGCTATGGATGAAGAAAGCCACATAGTATAGACAGTAATGAAATAACAACAGTTATTAACTGGTTAACTCAAACGCTAGTGTACAATCTAACATATCCGATGACTAACCGGACCACTAAGTAGACTGTTATACATTTCCAGAGCGAGTGATTTTACTGATAGCTGGAATCTCTAGATAAATCGAGGTGCCCATTACAGAGCTTCAGTATATAGCATTAACAATCACAGCGTTATTAGGAACGAAGTAGAACTAGTGAATAGAAAACAAGTGATCCATATGAACTAGTTTTGTAAACTGACAGATTAACAAAAAGTCCAATTAAGCTAACGAAGTAAATCACAACCTAATATAAATAATTTAACAATTCTTTCAGTGTAATGTATGAGATACAAACCCGATTGATGGATTTGGGAAATAGTAGAGAGACATATGTCTAAGAACCACTTGTATATTTTTCAATTATCTTCGTTTTCTTCATTATTTGTGTGTAACACAACTTTTAAATATACTGGCTAATTGTTGCTAATCGTACACGACCAGCATCATAAGCGTCGTATTATTGTTTCCATACATGGTTTGAATAGTGATACAAGAATATGGTCATGATGCGTTAAACATGACAGAAAATAAGTTGGGTTCGAAGTGCAACTTTCAATCACTTAAACTACATTGAGTGAAGTTATGGGACAGCCGATATCCTGTTGCTATCCAAATTAAAGAATGAAGTAACTGAGATATGACTGAATTGTAGTTTAGGAACCCAAACCAAACCAGGTGAAAACTACACTATAAAAAGATATGACAAACATTAAACCTAAACAAAGATCATTACTTACAACAATATTTTATAAATAGCCAATTTGTTCCAAATATTAAAGCATTAACAACAAAATATAATAAAATCTTACAAGTTTCTCGTGGTCTACTGCGTAATGTGTCCCAGAAAACCAACCCAGGACTTCAGCTTTTTGTGACTGAATAGGTTTTGTGCATGTAGAACCTTCCGGACGGTCAAACTCACGAACTTCGAGGGGCTGATTAAATAGAGAAAATTTAAAATTAGTACATTTATTTTACTGGTACTACATACATTTTGAAAGTTTAATTTTGTAATATAAGAAATGGAAGTTAAAAATGTGCTTAAACTCCCCCCCCCCCCATATAGTTTACCACTTGAAATCATCATCAAGAGGAAAACGATAACAGGATAAATAAAGTGACTATGGGCAACAAATCGCTTAAGAGAGTAATAGACGGATAAAGACAAGACAGAAATACAAAAGTATTGGATAATATATAGTTAGAAAGAATGTTTTTAGTTTCTATTGGTTTTGAGCTTTATTGCTAATTACACAGACACTAATCAACAACCCTTTCACCATTCAGATTTCAAAGACGAATGTAACGTCCTCGCTTAATTTAAACCCTGAATTAACGATAAACGAACGAGACGTTAAGTGATATGAACCATTATCGCTAGCAATGCCACAGGAGTATTCACCTTCCGTAGAACATAAACTTCTAAATTTCTTGTACTTGTGAATAGCAACTTTACTTTCAATGAACTATAAAATACGACTCGATTGAATATAGTACGTGTAGAAAAATTTAAATCAGTGAATTATTATTTATTATTTGAACACATAAATATTGGTACAAGTGGGCACCAAATATATATGCACCACACATTTTCATTATCATTATATTTGTGTGTGGGCTGTGATACTGCCCGGGTGCCCAGACCGAAGCAGGTGGTTATCTTAGGGGGCCACACCCCGAGCCTTTGACCTAAAGGTCTGACCCACAAGGCAGTGGAGCATCGTGAGGAGATGCAGTCCCATGGTAGCCGGTGACCAACGATTGGTTCATACTCCATTTGTTCCCGCAAAATACTGGAGCCCACGTGCACCATTGGTTTAAGATCCGGTTAAAGCACCGGACATTCGCTTTTCGTTCTCTCATTTTTATTAAATAACACGCTCGCCACGAGGAGGCAGTGAGTAGGACTTCCCTGGCAGAGGCTGTATACGCGTGGCCGTGTGAGAGTATTTCAAGAGGGAGGGCGGGCCCACCCGACTCTTGGCCATACCAGGGCATTTAGGGGCATGATTGTTTCTTTACTTATTCAGTGAAACGGGAACGAAATTGTATTTTGGTTCAAAGCACATTCCGGGGTGCGTGACCTATCGCTGCGTACTTCGGTAACTTGGTCATGTCAGATGAGTCGTGGTGCAAATCAGTGAAACCATACAATCGATTCAATATTGAATTAGTCGTAGTATATCGCAGTTCAGAATGTGTAGATGATTTTCCCCTAAGTAAACTTAGGTCCTGGTGTAACAAGGGTAAAAGCCTTGTAGTAGGCGACTTTAATGCACCGTATATAAACTGGATTAACTAAGAAGTAGGGTCGTCGATAATGTCATTCGATTGCAAACTGTTAGAAGCCTCGATTGCATTAGCCTTATTCCAACACATTAGAAATCCCACAAGATATGACTTAAGAAAATCTTCTTATCTGTTAGATTCAGTCTTGACACACGGTGATGACGTTGGTCAAATGACTTTTCTCCCACCACTAGGGAGAAGTGACCATGCAGTCATATTATTCAAATTCATGGCTGAGATTGCCTGTCAAACAGTTGCGCCAGCCCGTCCTAATATATGGAAGGCAAATATGAAGGCAATCAACTCCGCAGCATCGGCTGAAAACTGGGAAATTGACTCAAGGGCATCAGTACAAGAGGCATGGACTCTTTTCAGGCACTTATACAATCGGGTAACTCAACCATACATACCTTAGACAGTCCCAAAGAAGAAGGAGAAGCACGGCCATCCCTGGATAGGCCGGGATATTCGACGTCTACTAAGACAAAAGAAGAAATATTGGAATGTTGCTATCCGCTTTGGCACAACAAGTACGATGGAACGCTACAGATCGATAAGAAACACGTGACAGTGAGTCATGATCTTAAGAAGACAGCCCCTTGCCGGGAGGTCGCAGCTAAGAGGTTTAGAATCATCTAAGCTTTAAAACGGACACTCACTAAGTTAGATATTACCATGTTCACCACAGTATACACAACTTTAGTGAGAACTAAGCTTGAGAACTGCGTCCAGGCTGCAAGCCCCTGATTAAAAGTTGACTCGGATATCCTAGAAAAAGTACGGAGGACAGCTACCCGTGAAATTCCAGAACTCCGGGGTATACCATACAAAGAGCGGCTTGAAAAGCTGGACCTCTTTACTCTGACCTATCGCAAACTAAAGTGAGATCTAATTTTCATGTATAGAATACTGGAAAATGATTTTGGACCTAACTTGTTTTTCCCACTAGATCGGGACATCTTAGAGGACATAGCAGGCTAGTAGAAAAGCCAATAACGAACAAAATACCCGTGGCATACAGGTTCTCACACCGAGTCATCAATACTTGGAACCTGCTGCCCAAAGCAGTGGTGTCCGCACCTTCAATTGGCTGTTTCAAGAGAAGACTGGACACTCACAGAGGCATACTAGAAAAGGAGTAACATAGACCATAGGCATTCTGTGCCTACTACCCAAATCTAAATCTTTTGATGACACTGAGCAACAATCCCAGGATGTTTGAGATGCATTTATGCCCCTCTAAATGCAAGTTATTACTCAAAGAATGACCTGCGTCAACACCCGGACTAAGGATAAGCAGTGAAGTAGTCAAACGCATTGACAACTTCACTTATCTTGGAAGCCTGGTCAGCCCTAATGGGTTGGTGTATGACGAAATCTCTGCACAGATTCGAAAAGCTCGCTTGGCTTATGCCAACTTGCGTCACCTATGGCGGAGGCGAAATATCCGTCTATCAATTAATGGACAAGTATACTGTGCGGCAGTCCGTTCTGTTTTAATTTACGGCAGCAAAACATGGCCATTAAGAGTAGAAGACACTCGTAAGCTATTAGTATTCGACCACAGATGTCTTAGAAATATTTCTGGCATCTGCTGTGATCAGCGGGTAAGTAGTAGTGAGGTTAGACACAGAGCATTACGGAATGGTGGTAAATCAGTTGATGAGGTTGTGAATCTTCATCGACTGAGATGAGTGGGTCACGTGTTGTGTATGCCTGAACACCGATTACCACGGCGCGCAATGCTGACTAGTGTAGGGGATGGTTGGAAAAAAGTTAGGGGCGAACAAACCAAAACGTGGTATCAGTGCTTGAAGTCACTAACTTCTAGTCTGAGCCATGTTAGTAGATGCAGACTACTTGATTGGGGTCCGCGTGGCTATCGTAACCAGAAGTTGAGGACTGGGTGACATGGCTCAGAATCGATCATAATGGCGTAGGTGTAAACACTGTCTTCTTTTAGGCTGTGAGATCAAAATTACTTTATACCTTCATTTCTACCAACTAATTCTTTTTTCCAATGTTATATCCTTATGCACAACCTTTCTTTTATATATTACTACAAGTGAATTCGGTGTTCATCATGTTGTGATAATGAAGTGTGGTAAGTTGGACCGATGCATATATGTGCCTGGTCCTGACTGACTTTCCTCTAACTTAGTCAGCAGGAACTAGAATTGTCTCAAGCGTTCGGTAACTAATGCATTAATCAAACCGTAAAAGTAATTTTTTAAAAATACCGGAGACTTACCACATACAAAGCATGGAAGGCACCGAGCAAAGACGCCAAACAGGAAACGGATGGTTCAAGCCAAGAGTGTTCCAACTTTTTAGCCGTTTTCAATGGACCCAACAGAAGGAGAGGTCTTTTAGATCCGACTTTGATAGCCCTAGAAAAAACATACAGCCCATTTGGAATAATGTAGGATTTTAATGAAGTATAAGTGCGCTCCGACCAGCTAATACCTCGTAGAAACATGTAAGACGTTCATTGGATTTAGCCATAAATTATATAACATGAAGCGATTTTGATGAATGGTAGAATAAGGTTATATCGTGTTTGCATGTTAGCCTTAGAAATATTGCTGGCGTCTGCTGGGATCACCGGGTAAGTAAAAGTGAGGTTAGACGCAGGGTATTAGGAAATGATGGTAAATCAGTTGATGAGGTTGTGAATCTTCATCGACTGAGATGGTTGGGTCACGTGTTACGTATGCCTGAATACCGATTACCACGGCGCGCAATGCTGACTAGTGTAGGGGATGGTTGGAAAAAAGTTAGGGGCGAACAAACCAAAACGTGGTATCAGTGCTTGAAGTCACTAACTTGTAGTTTTCGGGTGATAGTATGTTCAAAGTACAAATTACATCAAACTTAGTTAAGCAGAAATAGAGAAATAAACTCCTTATGAGCTTGTGGCTGAACTATGAACGCTTGAGAAATACTACTGATCTTGGTGAAATATAAAGTTCTATGAGGCTCGACGGTTTAACTCCAGAGGTTTTTAAGAATTGTGGAACATTTTTAACAGTTAGGTTGACTGAAATACTATCTAGATGTTTGGAGCTGGGGAAAATCTTACCCGACAGGCCTCGACGGTTGGATGTCTCAGTTCACAAATAACTAAGGCTTTCTTTTGATAACCAAAAAGAAAACGGTTTGACTAATAAAATATCTAAAGTATTAACCTTAATAATCATTAAATGATCGTCTGGAACTGACAAATAGCAAACTCCGTAAAATCGGGGTGGGTTTTGGTCTCGATAAGCGTATATAGGTCAATCATTTATCATTCATCAGGCTTTAAAACATTGGTATACTTACTGCCAACAGTTGTGATTCTAGACCTCAAGGCGTACCAAAGAAGTACACAAAAATTGTGAGATCTCTACTTGAACACTATTGGTTGAAGTAATCGTTATGGTTAACGTCCATTGAAACTGCCAACTTCAAGTAGTCTCCTAGAGTTGCTCATTATTCCTTTTGTTTTAATCAACTTTGTCATACTTTTAGTAATATCCCTTCTTTTGTCTGACTTCAGGGATTGATATTCTAAGAAACCCACTTATGGACTACAGATATACAGTATATAATCTCAGGTGAAGAAGCTAATAGAATACAGGAATTCATGATCGTTTTGAGTAATGCACTAATGTTAGTATATTTGGGATGCCTTTTTCTACTTCTAAAGAAATATACTGCTCTAAGGCTGATTTTTCAATGAGAAACTAATAGAGAGCAAAGTTTTTGAATGCGTTTCCCACCTTATTAAGTTTCATCAGAACTGGTGGATTGATGGCTGATTTAATATTAGCACTAATTCAAAAAGCTTATCTGGTTTGAGATATCCGTCTGCCAACGAAGGGACGAGTAAACCCCAAGCTGCCAATTTTGGGGAAGCCGCCATAATAATTTTTGGGGAAATGGCACAAAAACCCCAAAATTCCCCAAACTTTGGAGATTTCCCCAAAGTTGGCAGCTCGGGACTATACAGCAATTTGCTGTGTTGCTTTAAGGACGCCAAATACAAATTATAGAACAAATTTGTAAACTTCAAGTTCTTGACCATAGGTGTAGCTATAGCACTGCAAGTGCATGTTGAAAACACAGAGTGATGGAAAGTTTGAACGTACAGTGCCAAGCAAAAATGGGAAATTGGTTGATAAGATTCTGAATACCTATCAATTGAGAAAATCAGGACGTATTCCAAGCTCCCAATTTTGGGGAAAATCTGACCCATTTTGGGGAAGCCGCTATAGTAAATTTTGGGGAAATGGCACAAAAACCCCAAACGTTGGGGAAGCTTCCCCGAAATTCCCCAAACTTTGGGGAAGGCTATTTCACCTTGGGGATTTCCCAAAAATTTCCCAATGTTGGGAGCTTGGGATATTACGTACGCCCAACCAACACCTAACCAACGTGTAATATTGGCTATCAGAAGTAAGGAGAAAGGTAGGTGTGCCAAAGGCCAAACATGGTATCAGTTGGTGGAGTTATTTACTGTTTTTTACTTTTACATAATTATAAACTTGCTCATCGTACTTTGGTTGTTTATTTTGAACCCCACGTTTGCCTCCTTTATTTTAATTTTACACCTAACCACCAGATGTTTGCTGAGTAATGTGAGATCTAGATGAAACCACTTATCAGTGATCTACATGTGCTTATCATAGAGACATTGGAGATAGTGAGATCAGCCCGAGCTGCCAATTTTGGGGAAACTTCCGAAGTCAAATGACCTTGCTCATGTTTGGGGAAAACCCCTGAGTCGAATGACTATGACCAAGGTCAAAGAGGAATTTTGGGGAAATATTGAATAATTTCCTTAGGTCTGGGGAAATTTTAGAGTTTGGGTCTCATTTCCCCAAAATTTACTATAGCGGCTTCCCCAAAATTGGAAGCTTGGGAGACTTCAGCAAACAACCTGACCTGACATATGACTGAATTAAGTTATTGGAGTTGTCTATCCTTATATAAGTCTTATCATATTGTAACCACCTGCCTTTTATACCTCACATTTACTTACTGAGATATACCTTTCGTTGATGCTTCAGTTATTCGACGAGCATCATCAATATCTTGATCAAGGTGACCAGTAAACGAAACGACCTAGCAGACTTTATAAATGAACATCAACATACCAAACGTTTAGATGGTAAAGAACGACAAGTCAAGGTGTGGACATCTGAAGAGAATTTCTGGTTCACCTAAAAAAATTATAACCCTGCTTCACACAGACCTGTGATGCTTCTTGTAACGTTTCAAAAAGAGGTGTAAACGAGGATGCATCTGACACGTCTTCAACTACAAGTACAACAGAATCGAAGTCCTGAGAACATAGATCTGACGTAACGACAGGCCGTATTGACTCGCGATGTGTCATAGCAGCGACAATTGACCTTGAAGTGTTTGAACAGACAATCCGAGATATACAGAAAAACCGTGAACTAAAAAGTGATTTCGGGTAGACCTTTAAAGTTGATTTGTTATGCTCACCTTGACCTATACAAACTGTGAAATAGCATTACATGGAAAGTGAATATTAAAAGCACGGAGGTGACCTTGAGAGAGTATTCAATAGTGTTCGTTCAAAAATTACCTTTCCCTCATATATCCGGCCTCTCTACACAACACCCTGAACATATGAACTTCTCCATTTGTCTTGTTTCCCCAGCGGTATAATTTATTGAACTAACATAGTTCGTAGCAAATGTTTCGGTCCAAACAGTATAGCAGTCTCAGTCTCAGTTTCAATCCTCGAAGGAAACGAGCTTTGTGGCTTGTGTTGATCATGTAGCGGTAAATAAATCCCCAAAATAAATAACTCCGTAAGTTTTCGAGATTGGATGCTGACCACATTAGTTTTAGTGAACTCAGCTAGCTGAAGGCGCTCGGTCATGCATACGCACCAGATCACGAGTGGGAACGCTGTGCTCAACATCCCCTGCAGTCGCTAGCCAGCCTAGATCAGTTGATCCTCAATAGATTGATAACCTATCAAATTTATCTTTGAACCTTATGGCTTCTGTCTTTTGATTTCTCTTGGTGGGTGCGATTCATATTAGGTGTTACTGGTTAAAGCGTTGTCAAACTCCAAATACATGTGGCATCTTCAACCATGGCAATCGTGGTCTCTCACTTTAACCGAGTTTCTTCTGAAAGCGTTGACAGACGAAGTAATGAAGTCCATTTGTTGATGACTCGATGGGAAAGTCGATGAATAGCTGACAAGTAAGTTGTTCGGGGCTTGTAAACACCTTACGTATTCTCATAAATCCTCTACTTTGTAAGACAAGAGAATTAAAATAGACTTATAAGCAAAGATGGATAGTGACTAGCAGTGGAATCCAGGACGCGCGTTTCGTCAGCTGGATGTGCCTGCATCTCAGAGTTGATGTTCACTCTGGGACTCGAACTCAGTACCGTTCGCTTCAAACGCCATCGCAGGTCAACCGACCTTTGACGATGGCCCGTTCAAACAGCTCTTCTTATCTAAGCTTCCCCACCAAGCTTCCCATTTCAAAATAACTTTGTAGATGAATGCATCTGCCGATTGGATTCTGAAGATCATCAGAACCCCTCATTCCCAGGTATTATTCTGTCAAAGAAAAACCTCGGAAAACACAAAACGATGTCATCAACCGCTGTCATACTCTCACTCGTTATCCTAATATTCATCATAATAGTGGACGTTCTCGAGCCCCTCGAAGAAGTTCGTCACTAAAAAGATCTATCTCCATATCACGAGAAGCAGACAATCCTGATTGGTGTTGGTATCACAATAATCATTGAAAGTCTTCTAGAAACCACTGAAAGTCGTGCAGTTTCCTAATCTTAAAACCGTACGACACGGTAAACCATTCGAGAAGCTTCACAGGCGGCATGTGTAACGATAGCTGTAGCCGGCGAACACAGCTGTCCGTTGTACACCACTGATGTGATGATGAACGTATACTGACCCGTCGATACCGGCGCCGAAGTTGGCGTTCTTTCTCCAAAACCATAACGATCGAATCCACTAGCCCATATTCAACATGCAGGCGCCAAAAGGGAAACCGATTGCCACATACGGTAGACGGTGCGTGCATCATGACGTGGGTTTACTCAAACTCATTCACTGGGCCTTCGTTGTTGCAGATGTTTAACTCTGTTTATTGGTGCAGATCCACCACAACAGCATAATCTACTTGTCGACAAGTGAAAACGAAGTTCAGTAGACGGAACAACTAACATATATCTATTTGTGTAACTTCTTTTTCCGATTGTAGATTATCCTCAGTCACAGTAAAACACACGATCGATCAATACTACCAAGAGATACTTGTTAAGTACTCTGATCTGTACCAAACGCGAGCAAAATAGTCGTATGCGACCAGCAATGTTGCACACCACATCACCACTACAGGACCATCTGAATTCTCGAAAGCACGCCGACTAGCTACCGAAAAACTGAGGTTGGCCAAAGACTACGTGGGAGGCCTGATAATTGTTCAGCCATCGAACAGCCCATAGGTATCTCCCTTGCACACGGTCCATAAAACGGACATCAACGATGGGCATCCAGCTGGTGACTATCGGTGACTGGATACGTAAACCTATCCTGATCGTTACCGGTCGCCTCACATTCACGATTTGACAGCTACCTTTAAAGGTACAGCCGTTTTTCTGAACGCCGATCTGGGTAAAGCATATAACCAAATTCCCATGGCTGCTGGCAACATTCCAAAATCCACTATCATCACTCCCTTTGAACTCTACGAGCTTTTCCGCATGCCACTTGGTTTGAAGCATCTCACTCAAGCTTTCCAGAGATTATTCGATGACGTTTATGGAGGTCTCAACTTCCTGCATATGTGTGGTGATGACTGCTTGATTGCAAGTCCGGGCAGACATACTCATTCCATCATCTAGAAGTTGTCTTCAAGCGACTGCTAAAGACCCGGAATTACAGTAAACATCCAAGAATGTCAAATCGGCACCGACTCACTAGATTTTGTCGGACATACTGTTGATGCTCAAGGCAATCGATCGTTGAAAAGCGAAGTGGCAACCATTCTGGATTGCTTAGAACCAACAACAATCAACAGACAACGCGGGTTCAACGGTCTAGTAAGTTTCTATAGACAGTTCATGCTGAATTGCGCGTCTATTATGAGAACCTTAACCGATCATCTTCGTGGAAATGCGAAACCCATTAATTTAAGCGATGATACGAAGAAAACACTCTCCACAGTTAAGGAACTTGTCGTCAAAGCAAACATGCTCGTACACCAGGACATATAAGCATCCATTAGTATAGCAGTAGATATATCCGACTCGGTAATTGGAGGAGTCCTACAACAGTGGGTTAACCACACCTGGCAAGTTTTGGCATTCTACTCGAGATGGTTGCTAGATACCTGAATGAAGTATTGCACTTTAGGTAGGGGACCCGTAGCCATTTACTGTGCTGTACGGCACTTTTAACACTCTGTTGAAGGCCGATAATTTTAGCGATTGCAAACCTTGTATGTTCTGTTTAAACTCATCTTCAGATAAGCACTCCCCCCAGGAGTCTCGAAGACTGGACTACATTCCACAACGCTGGAGGTGTATATAGAAGAGATGGGAGCAGGTAAGAAAACTTTGCCATGCGACACATCTAAAGGTGGGGATCGTCCAATCGCGCCGAAACATTATCGACGCAACGTCTTCAAAACGCCGTACAAACTTTCTTATCCAGGTGTTCGTTCGACCATTTGTGAATGACATTTGAGCGACGCCAGTGTGACCTTCAGAGTGTTTACCTAATAAACAGGATCAAATGAGGCTTGTAAACCTGTGTGAGGAATTCAACCCATGATCTACAGTTGATGGTCAAGGTCAGTAATTAGATTAAGGTTTTTCATCACGAACTGATATCATCTATAATGACAAAACTCTATTTAATCAAATACACAAGGGAATTTTCCACCAAACTCCGAGACCTGTTATCTTATATCTGATTACCTCGTCCAGAAATTATAGTCTCGCTTTAGTACCTTTACCTGATCCAAATGGATACCCTTATTTCTCAACTCGTGTAGACCGTTTCACTCGATGACCGGAGGCAGTGCCCATCAAGGACATTACTGCCAAAAATGTAGCCCACACCTTCGTCGAAAGATGGGCAGCAAGCTTTCGCTGCTCTTCAACTATCACTACAGACCGTGGGCGTCAGTTCGAATCTGGACTTTTCCGTTGTCTTACTACACTACTAGGAATCGTCGTAATTTATTTCGACGACCTCTCGAAACGGCTCACTAAGAACCCTTCGAAGCCTTCAATGTAAACCTAATTACTATGCCATCGATGAAAACGATAACATCAGTATTGACTGCGCGCCCTAATAATATTGATTTTCTCTCGGTACACCCGAGTGACACGAGCGCCATAATTACAACGATCAACAAACACGACAAAACTTTGCTGGTTTCTTCAAATCAGTCTGAATCAACGTCAAGTGTGCGGTCAGAGAGATTGTACGCAACTTGTTTGTAGCGAGATATCACTCTGTTATATCTTTATCTGCAAACTCCAAGATACTTTCAGGTTCATGGTTTCCTCCATTCCTAAGGGCCCATATATGTGTAAATTATTGTAACTGGTTAAACGTAATGTTAATTTCGGCAAGAGAGTTTTACAGTCGTCGAGTGTTGGTACTATGGCGACCAGTATTTTGCTGTGCGTGAGATATATTGAACTGTCCGATTTTTTCAATTTTGGATTTAGGCCTTAGCGAATCATACTGATGCGTACACTTAGCTGACTCTCCAGTATATGTAGGTATTGTATTTTTTATATCAACTAGTCGTATCACTGGCATACTGCACGAAGTGATGAAGGGGTTGCGATGTGAAGAATCAGGCGGTAATAGTGATATGTGTGGATGAGATGCCTAGAGTGCAATGAGTGGAGAACCCGTATAGTTAAATAGAGTATATAGTTACTGTTAAGTATTAGATGGCTTAGTACTGTCCGTGACTGTGGCTATAAAAATACTTTGGAGACAAGGTGTTCAGTTACTAAGTGAGACAGTAACTATCAATTGAACATTAATTAGTATGATCAAGAGATATAAACATGTAAATGTCAGTCACTGGGGCCTTGCATAAAACATGAAGGGGAGGTTCGTGGTAAGTATGTATCAACTGTAAAGTATCGTTGAAGTTTATTTTTACGGATTAAAAAGATACCCAAAACGCAAGACAGCATGATAATTCCAGTATTATACACCTCACAAATGAACAAACAAATCCCGACAGACTTGAAAGAAGGATACTTCATCAAAATACCACAGAAAGGAAACCTGGTCAAGTGTGCGAAGTACGCAGGAATCACACTACCATCGGTACCAGAAAATGTTTTCATCAGACCGTCCCTGAACCATATGAAAGGTTCATTAGACCTCTAACTTTGAGATCAACAGACCGGATTCCGTAAGGATCGGTCATGAACTGACCAAAACGCGATATCACGAATCATTATTGAACAATTAGTTGAGTAAAACGCGTCACCATCCATCAAATTCCTTGATTACGAACAAGCATTGG